TTGTTGCAGACTCTGCAGTTTGTTGTGTGAGCCGCGTTGCTGCCAGTCCATTGTCTGTTGTTCCTTTACTTGTTAGTAGTCCTGCAGTTTGAGCTTGTGATTTGGTTGGTGCAGATGATGTTTCATCCTTAGCTTTCTTTGTTGCAGGTGTTATGCGTGTTTCTTTATTTGGTGTTTGAATTTTAGTTGTTTCTATTGCTGTACTTTGACTTGAAAATGTTGTCAATTTTGTATTTTCTGTGTCTTCTTGGGTAGATGCTAACGCTGAGCTGGTTAGTCTTCTTGATTCAGATAGAGTTGATGCTGTCGTCTTTCCAGTTGCTCCAGTAGAAGTTGCAGATGAAGGTGAAGTCGTTACTGAAGCTGTGGTCATGGACTCCACCATCTTTGTAGGAGTTTGGGTTTGGGCTGTGAGGGGATCAGACTGTGTTTTCATTGTAGTTTTACCATTTTGATCAGACTTTGCTGTTTGGTTTGTGAGTCTGGTCGACACAGAGACTGATCTGTTATCTGGGTTTCCATTAGTTGTAGTTTCAGCAGTTTGTTGTGTTGTCAGTGGAGCTGATGTTGCTGATGAATCTGAATTGTCTGCTGCAGGTGGTGAAGTTCTGTCCTGAGTGTTTGATTTCAGTGTTGAACTTTGCAGAGACTCATTTACAGTTTGACTGGTTTCATTTTGATCAGCCACTGTTTGTTTTGCAACAGCGAGTGTTTCTATTGTGTCTGACAAGTTTATTGTTGCAGGTATGTTGAGCATTTTTGATGCTGCAGGTTGTGTGCTGTGTGTTGAGAGTCTTGCTGACACAGAGACTGATCCGGATTCTGTGCTCGTTTGAGTTGTTACAGATCCAGCAGGTTGCTTTGCAGTTGTGGTCGATATTTGCTTGATGGTTGTTGGTGAAGTAGAATCTGTTTGTGGTGCAATGGGCACTGTTACCACAGTCTTAATAGTTTGTTTTCTGTCGATTGTGGAGAAAGAGACTGATCCACTGTTTGTGCTTTCTTGAATTCTTGTTGATCCAGTAATTAGAGGTCGTGGTGCTGTTGTGGGCTCATTCTGTGATTGTGTTGTTTTTTCTGTATTTTGAGTTGTTTGCAATAACTTTGATTCACTGAATGTAGACACCGCAGTCTGTTTGAAAGCAGTTGATGATCC